GTTAAACTTGTAAAAGTCTTGTATATAAAGTACCCCATTACTGTAATGTGCCCATCTTAATCCCCAGGCTCCTTGCTTATCGCTGTTTTTTTAAATGCCGCTAAATAACCAGACAAACCAGAGTTTATGACCTGTAAATCGGGTGCATTTTTGATATCTGATAAAATGACATTAAGATAATATTTGTTGTCAGTTCACACGAATAGAGCAGGCTGGTATTTCCTGTGTGCAAAGCTGCTTGTCCCAGAGGAATGTGTGGAATGTATTCTTTTGTCCTCTGTAGATTTAGCAGAGTCTCATTTCTGCACTGCCTGCTATGGAGCCCGGGAAGAGACGGCCGACTGTAAAATGAGTCTGAAAGACTGTCAGTAACCCCTGTGGAGAACTCATCCTTCTCTGTGCCCGTCTCTTTGAACCAAAGCTGAAGGATTCTATAAGCCGGAGAGAGGCGGGATGAACTCCTGGAAATGTCCGCAAACATCCATTTCATTAAAAAGATGTTCTCCAGTGTTTGACTGAAGACATGTCAATCCACCGCTCCGAATCAGAGCCCCCACTTCCCTGTTTATTTATAGTTAGAGGAACTTGCCACTGGATGTCTCCTTCATGCAAGCCGTAGCTGTGATCTTGAAGGGAGGAGGAAGGCTTTAATTGAGGCTTTCTGCTTTCAATTATTGTTTTCAAGATTTTTTATGGGGAGATGAGGCTTCAGCGTTTTGAGAGTGGCTTCTTTGTGGCATCTGAGATTGATGTCGCTGAAAGCAGAGCTGCCAGCACATCAAAAGACAGATTGTGATTTATTACGGGAAAATGAAATTTAAGATTGCATAAAGATCACAACACATTTGCTCTCTGCCCATTTGCTTATTAGCCTGAATGCCGTTGTTGTTTAGCAATATTCCTACACTCTTTCAACATTAAATACCTATATCGAATTATGTTCTGCAGATCTAACATCAGAGAGGATAAAGCATTCAGCTTCCACAATTTCCTTACACATTTACCCAGCTTTTTTCCTTTCCAAGCTGCTGTGCCACATTATACCTGGTTCTCACAGTTGACTTCATGCTGGTTAATGAGGCAGGATCTTGTGTTGTGTGCTTGCTGTGGCTAACTTTTCTCATACACATTTTAGAGCAGGCTTGCCATTAAATATTTAGACTATGTTCATATCAAAGCACAATATGTCTAAAATGTAACATTTTACCTCATCAGTTAGCATTACAAAACCTTTGAACTTCCAAAAACTTTTAAACTACTTTTGAAAACAGGGTTTAAAAAAAAAAATACTCCTCCCTTCTGTTGGAGCTCCTTAAAACAAATCACCTTCATATCACAATCCTTTGAGAAACCCAGTGTCAGTTTGTCAGAACCTTGGATACAAAAGATTTAACACCTGTTATGTAGATTTGGTGTAGATTAACATTTTTCCAGAGTTTGAATGGAAGAATCAATTTTGGATTGCATATCTCAGTGCATCAAATTACAGTAACAATCAGAAGGGCTGAACAATGAATTGGAATAACTGCAGGAGCTGCTTTTTGTTTGGATAAAGGTAAATGATGTGACAAAACATCACTATAATGAAGTGCTGTAGTGCTGCAGAGATGGCCCTGCCCTACAAACCTCGTTCTCCCGATGCAAGAAAAACATTTTTGTTTGGTACAGTTCCCAAAAAATGTTCCATCATCACGATTTTAACAGCTTTTTTGAGGGAAAATGAAAATTGTAATGCAAAATCTAAGTGACAGTAATATCACAATCAGTCATGTTCAGAATTTTAGTTTGGCACAGTGGCATGTTAACATTTGCTAATTAGAGCTGAAAAACAAAGTACAGCTGAGGCTGATAGGGATGTCATTAGTTTTGCAGGTGTTTGGTCTAAAACCAAAGTACGGGAACAAATTCAAATTTGACCTGATAATGGGAGACTATGAATGTCTGTAAAAATGAAATGAATACAGTTATTTTCAGGAGAATGAAATATCCTTTTCTTTATTGCTTGCAAAATTATCCAAATAAAATATATCAGCTGATATTATATTGAACTACTCACACATGGCACATTTATAAAGATAGTTGATATTATTCTGATCATGTACTTGCGAGACAGTTAAGTTAAAGAAAGTTTGTATGAAGGATTCTCCAAAACTTAGAGATCAACACAAGCTCTAACCTGTGGTGTCACTGAGAGAAAATCTCCTGCTGCTTCTCTGCCTTAGTAACTTGTGGTGTTAACATATATACACATGTTTCAGGTTTTCAAGGTCAGTCTCTCATTAAGTCTTAATGTAGTACCAATGGAGCAAATATGTTTTATTTATATCCCCAGTAGCTCTCTCTCTCTTTTCTTTTTACTGACGGGATAAATTGACTTGTTTAAGCTTTTAAACTGATCTGTTGGTATATAACGTGTTAACTCTGAGATATCTTGAGATCTTACCTTTAAAAAAAAATGACTTTTACCTTTTTCATGGTTTTCTTATTTTCCTTATTTGTTTTCTTGCAGAGGAGAAGACCTCTGAATAAGGGGACCGTTAACCCAACAAAGCAGGAATTCTTGTTTTGAAGCAGTCATCAGTCCTCTTCAGCCATGTGTTCCACAAATCACTCCAACTGGGTCACATTTGAAGATGACAACACACCGCTCTCATCACCTCAGAAGCCTCTACAGTCAACAGGGCTTATCAAAGCATCAGTACCGCGTCCTAATGGTTTGAAATTAGTTCTTCCTCCGATCAGAGATACTTCCTGGAGCTTCAACAGTTCTCTGGAATCCCCTCAAAGCAACTCGAGTCTTAGTGGAAGTTCCTGTGTACCGTGTAACACGCCCTTTTGCACTCCTGTGAGTGGGGTTCCTAGCAGTGCCTCCCCATTTCACACCAACTCTTGGGAGAAGAACGACTTCTTTCGGAGTTTCTCCAGCACATCAACCACCTCTGTTCCTTCTCCTGCACCAGAGGCACTGAATCAAACCTCAGATGGACCAAACCCTTTCCCATCTTTCCAGGGGAACTCAGGACACTATAACCCCTTCTGGGATGGATCTAGACACAGTGCAGATGTGGACAGCTCTTCCTCAGACTCAGAATCTGACAACAGCCTACCACGTTTCTTTATTCGGACCAAAGACGGCAGCAAGCCTCCGCGCGATCAACTCCAGAGCTCCTTGTCTTACGTTTGCCACAAACTGGAAGGCCTACAAGCACAAACAGAAACAGAGACAGAAAAAGATGTGGAGAGGCGGCTAAGTTGCAAAAATGAAGTCTTAAGCGAGGGTTCATCTCAGTTCGTTCCTCGGGGTCTGTTTCGTAGCCAAAAAAGAGACGGCTGGTCTGTCATGGTCAGGATTCCTGAAAAAAAGAACCGCATGTCCTCTCGGCAGTGGGGGCCGATCTATCTGCGCCTGTTGCCGGGAGGCGTGCTGCAGATGTACTATGAGAAAGGGCTAGAGAAACCATACAAGGAGTTCCAGCTTCTCCCCCAGTGCAGGATCTCAGATCTTAAACTGGAAAGCTACGGCGAGCCCCGCAAGGTCCTCACGCTCAAGGTGGAACATTTCTCCTATATAGAAAAAAAACGCTACCACCCTAAGTTAGAGGTTAGTCATGAGGCAGAGGTAGAGCAGCTGCTCAAGTTCGGCTCCACAGTGCATGATGACATGGAGGATCTAGTAGTCTCCATGGAAGAAGAAATCTTCAAATTGTGTGCGCCCCACCAGCAGAGGCGGCACTATGAGGAGCAGGAGCTGTCGTTGCAGCTCACTGATCATATCTGGGTTCAACTGGATAAGTGCGGAGGAGTCATGGAGCGGACAGCCTTCACCCAGATTCACTGTCTGGCTTTTCTGAACGGACTAGGGGATTGTTTTCTAGCCCTCAACGATCTAGGGCTGCTGCGATTTAACTCCAGTTACGGGTCTGAGGAGGATGGTGAACTCTGGATGGAGATCGCCGACTGCCATTTCCACAAATGTGTGAACGAGACGGAGTTTCAGAGGTCCCGGCTGATAAAGTTCTCACCTCCTGATGCCTGCAGGGTGGAGCTGATGCGGTACAAGACGACAATTCTGGGTTGCACAGAAATTCCCTTCTCAATCAAAGCTGTGGTCACAGTTCAGGGTGCCTACGTGGAGCTCCAGGCCTTTCTTAACATGTCAGCCACCTTTCTTTCCTCCATGGGCGTGTCTGACACGTACCCGCTGTGTGAGAATGTAGTGATCCGCGTGCCAGTGCCGAGCGACTGGGTGAAAGTCACACAGACAGTGGCCTTACTGCGACAGAGGTCACTGAAGGCCCGTATGAACAGAAATGCCTGCTTGGGCTACGTCAGTGCTGCAGACTCACAGCCTGTCATGCAGGTGACAATCGGCACAGTCAAGTATGAGAATGTATATTCAGCCATCGTGTGGAGGATCGACAGACTGCCCGCTAAGAACACGGGTAACACATTTCTAAGAGATTAAAATTCAGCCCTGCACTACAGCCTAACATATCATTTTCTCATTAGCTCTTTGGCCCTGGCTTCTTGTGCATGTGTACAGTGTGCTTGCCACTCAGTGGTGTAACACTCTAACTACAAGCGACCTTTGTTTTCTCCTTTGCAGCAGTGGATCATCCCCATTCATTTTCCTGCAAGCTAGAGCTGGGATCTGATCAGGAGATCCCAAGTGACTGGTATCCTTTTGTCACTATGGAATGTGAAATTATGGGCGCAGTTGTGTCACAGACCAGGGTGAAGTCACTGGGCACCACAAATGACATCCAACCACAGAAACATGTGACCAGTTGGACACGCTATCATTGTCAGGTAAGATGTCTCATCAGTGAAATAATATGTTGCTCAATGAATGCACCAACGTTAATCTAGATCCCCATCTTTGTTTATTAGTGCAACTAACCTAATCTAATTTTGTTCTTATTAGGTGGAAGTGGAGAAGAAATGGATTGAAACGGAGTCAGAGAGGCAATCTGGTTGTATGACACAGTGATTACTAAAGAAGCTCTGAAGAGGACATAATCCCTTTGGTCAAAGATATTTGCCAAACTCTTTCTAATGGTGAAAAGGGATAATGAAAAATTAACTAAACCGAGGGTGATGAGGGACTTTCTGCTTATATCTGGTGTCAAAATTCATCTAATTACACGTAGCCTGGTAGTATTTCTCATGGAGGTTAACCGATTTTGTATCCTTTAACTGAGACTGAATTAGTCTAGACCTAATAAACAATTTAACATGGCCCTTTTGCCTAGCACTTTACATTTTTTAGATGTATTAACTGTAATATTACAGTTTATATGAGTACTGTATATAAGCTTGCATTTGCATCATCTGCACTGCCCTCCAGAATGATTGGCATCCTTAATAAATGCCTCAATAAATGTACGCTGAACAGGCTGTATGAGATAAACAGCTTAAGTAATGAGCAATATTTACTGTGTTTGAGGAAAGCTAATTATCAGCAGATGTTTCGGGTCAGGCGCTTTTGTTGCCCAGCAATGTTTAGAGTTCACATACTTCCAAACTGATTCATTTAGGTATGAATCCTCCACTAAAGTCTCCAACTGATTCATTTAGGTATGAATCCTCCACTAAAGTCTCCATGGCAGTGGCATACAAAACAATGTAAACACCTTGTGGAAAAGGACAGTAGTATTATAGTTGCACAAAAACATTGGTTCAAAGGTGGGTCACCTCATGCTGAGTCTCACAGAGCAGCATTTTGTCTCAAGTGATCTAATCACAATTATTAGGTCAATTTGGTTGAACTGGCTCAGGCCAAGCCAATTAGTCGCCATTCTCAGCAATGAAACACTCATCAAAGGTTCAAAGCAACATGAGACAAACGGACAATTAAATCACTTTTGCCTAAATTACAAGTGCTTTGGCCCAAAAAGCCACAACGTAATCTCATATTTGAAGCCTTTATGAAGTGAAAAAGTGGTTGGAGTTTGAAACTAACCCAACAAGAATACGACAACCTAATACGACCCATCTTTGAAGCGGTTTTTGAAGTAGTTGTAGTATGGGTACTAATATTATTATATAAAGGGATGAATTCATTGTCTTTTTTTCACATGGAATACAACTCATTACTTTTGTTGCTTACCTCAAGCTTATTTTTGACTTTATACCAAGGTTGTGTTCTGGAGGACTGTAATTTTATTTAAACAAATCAAATCTTTTATTATATGATCTTTCTGCCTCTGGGTTGTGAATAGGTTGGATGGAGAGAAAAAAAAAAAGAATGCTAAAGCTTCATAGTGACCGAAAAGGCCTTCAATGATGACTTTTATGTATGAGGTACCTGGCTTAAGCTGGATATTATGTACATCAAGAGTAAAAATTGAATTAAACCTGAATGACTCATGGTACTTCTTCTTAGATTTTAAAGTATCTGTCTCTACCACACACACCAGGGAGAAGATTAAGTCTCTAAATCTATTCAGTAAATGAATTTAGTCTTATGAGACAGGACATAAACTCTAAGCTAACCACTGTGGGTGCTTTCTGTTCATATTAAGGCAGCCATCCGATATCCAAAAAGATGAAAATAAATACAAGTGTACAGTGTAAAACTAAAACTCTAGCTTGCCTGATACACATTAAGTGATATTTGTGTTTTATTTTTTCCCACAGTAAAACAAAACTTTTAAACAAACAGCTCAGTTTACCCCATCATCATCATCACAGTGCTGTTGAGAGACTGAGACATCCAGCAGTGAGTAATCCTCAATAAATGCCATGTGATTGGTAGCAAAGGATCTTTTTAAAGTGCTGCATGCTGTGTGATAGTGTTATATTATGAACTGTAATATTGCACACAGTGCAGGAGAGTGGAGTATCTTATCCTGGATTGAATGTGGCTCTTTGGGAACATGCTGCTGACAGTGCACTCATGCACTCAAAAATTCACACGCAACAATAGTGTTTCATAGGAGTGCTGCTGTTTTTTTATGCAACAGTTCTCTCAGTGGCCCCTGTGGTGATGAGGTTTTATGATATTTGGCTATTTATATGTGGAGACTTCATTTATGCTGTATAATGAGGATTAGTTAGGTGGAAAAACACTCAATCCTTCTGTCACAATCGACTGTTTTTTATTTTCCGTCTATTGTTAGTTTTGATTGCTCACCATAGGGGGCAGTGTTTGTATATTTTCAGGGCTTCCATTACATGAATTATTTTCAATCTCTGAAGTATGGGCTGATAAAATAGACACCACATAACATAGGGAATACATATGGGAATAAAGAGGGCATCATCTTATAATTCCAGGAGAGCTTCTGTCTGACTCTAGAGTCGCTCGGTCGTGAAGTGACAGCTAAGTGTCTGTCAGTCTCAGTGACTGCAGTATCTGCAGGGGTGTCTCATGTTGCTGCTTTTCCACCAGCAGCACTCTCCTCCTCATCAGAAGAGTCAACCTACAGTGTTGAAAGAGAGCCAGCATCACCAAACAGATGCTTGGAGGAAGCAGGGGTCACGGCTCCTGCTGCTGCTGCCACGGATCTATTGAACACCAAGTTCAAAATGAAGTGTTTTGTAAAGGGTGAAATATTTTTAACTCCTGGCATTGTGCACTCTTGGGATCAGAGACTGTTCTGAGCTCCCAGCGCTGTGGAAAATGCAACTGAGTAACCTTTCTATTGAAAATAGCCAGAAAACTAGAGCTGGAAATGGACAGAAATGTTTGAGGGATTGGACAACCACAGTCTCTCTCTCTCTCTCTCTCTCTCTCTCTCTCTCTAAAACCACAATGCTAGAGGTGACATACTAATAACTAAGCTTTAAGGTGCTGAAGCCATATTCAACATTGATCCCAGCTGAGGGTGGTTGTAAGGTGGCCTCACCCTCAACAGGTGACACCCAGCTGGGACAGATGGGCAGCATTTCTCACTGTTTTTAACAAATGCCATTGGTGACCAGGTTAGATGGGAAATAAAGGCACAATGAGAGTGCCTAAAATCTTCTCTAAAATCTTCCTCTAGCAACAGAGACTGAAAGATATTTGCTTTCCTTACTGTAATATAATATATTATAATATATAATATAACAGATTACTATTTTCTGTCCAATCACATCTCTCCGAGGGGCTTGATTACGCTCACCTGTGTGCGCACTTTACGTCCAGTTGGAGCGGGCAAAACTATCTGACTGTTAACTGTATGTATTATGTTTCCAAAGTCTATTGTTACCGGACTGCAGTTATTTTTGCCCTAAATCATGCTGACCAACACAGGCCCAGTGGTAAGCAAAGCTGTCTTTTAGTTTTTCGCTGTAGGCTAACTAATAGCAAAAACGATTGAGTTGTGTGTTGGCCTGTGTGTACGTGAAGTAGCCCAATAAATGTGCTCCCTGAAAGCACAATTTGTTTTCAAATATACGCAGTTTTCTTATTCAGTGCCTCAAGCTATTGAGTCGGAATACCTCTGTGCAGTTTAATTCGCCATGTTGTCGAGCCAAATCACTCAAAATGTATCAATTAGGTCACATATCGATTCCTTTGTCGCCAACTCTCAAACAGTATCAACAGCGTTTACGTCTCTATCATAAATCTATTCTGAAATTAAAGTTTTAGTAACAAAATAAATAAAAATATGCATTATGTGTTACCCGAAATGATGAGTGACTTTGATATGTTAAGACAGTGACCTGAGTTACACATAGGTATGTGAGTCTACATTTTCCAACAGCTAGCAACATAAAAAGGGCAGATATTTAAATGGAGTTTGGTATGTTGTTCACAAAAACATACACGAACTGGCTGGGATGAATGCTCACAAGCAGCTTAACAGCTTCTGATTTACAGTTTTCTGTAAACAACTGCAGGCCAAACTTTACTTATCCATAATTGATGATGTGATTGAGAGTATGAGGGAGCTCTTCTTGGATGAAGGCCTTGAAGACCGCGTCCTGGACGATTTGAGACATGTGAGTTATATTCTGCGGAACCTTGCTCAATTTAAATAAAATACATATAATGCACACCTTGACTCAAGTTGTCAGTTACAGCAAGGTTAGATCATCTAGTGAGGAAGTATACACCATACCAGGAAGACAGACTGCTGTGTCTTCTGCTGTGCAGCTTTGGGAGTCAAAGATGATGCAGTCAAAAGCAATGGAAGACTTCAGGAAAAACAACATCAACTCATCCAACTTTGTGCTGCAGCTCCCTGCCAACTACAGTCAGACGGATCAAGAAGTCACAGGTAACATAGTGCTGCTTGAAGTGAACTGCTTCTGACAACACAAACATATCTAATTACACTGTCCATTAATACAGCTTGTCCAGTTACTTTAAAAGTACCCATTTTTTTTTAGCAGATGAGCTCTAAAACTGTATATTTGTGGTGGGAGTGCACTAACTCAAGTGATTCAGAGAGAAGGGCACTCATTCTTTTGAGTTTTGCATCACCTGCTCTGCTCTGATTTTTTGCTCTCAGCCTCAGTGGTAATTCCTGCAAGTCAGAATATCCACAGTTTCCCAAGGCTCAAGGCAAGTGTAATCAAAATCCACACAACCTTCCCTGATCTCATAATGGCTGTTTATACAAGGGGCATATATGGAAGATAAAAAAAATGTCATAATAAATTCATAATTTTCACATTTAAATGTATTTTAAATTGAAAATCTATTTAAATTCTGATCCAAAAACAAAGTCAAGTCAAAAAAATCGTGTCACTTTAACTGGAATTGTACATTTTACACACCAGATTCAAGAGGAAGAATTCAAACCTGATACTTCATCCTCCTGTTTTTTCCCCCCACTTAGATCATGTGACAATCCTGTTTGATGACATTCAGTCTTGATTTATGTCAGAATTTCACTATTTGAATTTGATCAACATGAATATATATTTGGACACTTACATTTTCAATCTAAATTTGTGAGTTTTTTAAATTCAAACCACATAAATTTTGCTGTATGGTTGTCATAGTATAACATTTAAACGGCCAGTGTGTAGGATTTAGTGCCATCTAGTGGTGTAGTTGCAACTTCATCACTTCATCCCCTCCTTCCAAGCGAGAAGGAGAAACTAAGGTGGCCGTGAAATGCCCCTATCTAGAGCCAGCGTTTGGTTTGTCCCTTTTGGACTACTGTAGAAACATGGTGGTGCAACATGGCGGACTCCATGTTAGGCAACCTGTAGCATCTGTAGATATAAACATCTCATTCTAAGGGAACCAAAAAACCTAATGATTCGTATACGCAGGTGATTGCACACTATTGAAAACATAGTTATGCGCATTATATTTCATTTCTTTCAACAGTTCCTCCTAATTGTTACACACTGGACCTTTAATTGCTATGTATTAAGTAGCATTTCAGTTTTTAACAATACGTATTCACCAGTGGTTAAATGTCACAGTTGGGTGTGCAATTTCTTATAAGATTCAAATTATTATGGCTGTTATTTGCCTCCATTGTCACATTCACTTCATTTGTCTGATGAGACAGCGGTGGGGCAGACCTGTTGACCTGAAGGTTATGAATAGATTAAAGAGGCCAGTATGATGTTGGAATTATAATACTCTCAAACACTTGTCTGTTTTAATGGATGATTCCAAAGTTTTGTGAAGATTTCTATAAATTATTACTGTTTGAGATGCTGAATTATATTTTCCTCTTTCATCGCAGAGCAACTCAGAGACACTTGCTACTTTCTCTCTCCCTGCTGGGTTAGCTTACCCTGTGCAGATCCCAGCCGGAGTCACTCTACAGACAGCTTCTGGTACACATCGACTATATCTGTCATGGGCATAAATCGGTTTTAGTTTTGAGCATGTACTAATGGGTTAAAAAAACATTCCACTCTTCCCCTTTGTCTCACTAAGGTCAACTTTACAAGGTTAATGTCCCTGTTGTGGTTACCCAGGCTGCAGCAGGTCAGCAACCTGTGTCCCAACCCACACGTAAAGTCACTGAGTGGAGAGAAGCTGCTGCGCCTCAGTCAGCTGCAGCCCCTTCAAATACCACTCATCCTCAGGAGGTGGAGCCATCCTCTGTCCCAGCTTCTTCTGTCACACAACCACCACATCCAAAGACCAATTTACCCCCCGGTCAGGAGAGCAGTCTCCCCCAGCAGCCACAAGTTCCTGCTGCAGAGACCTCGCAGCTCCAGGGGACCCACTCTCCAGAGCCAGAGGTCATCCTGGAAGAAGACGAGCCGAGTCCACAACCTGAACCTGTGAACCTCAGTATGACCGCCTCACCCCGTAGTCAGTTATTAGACTTCCAGATCAGCACTGAGGAGGCTTTGACACAGACAGCACAGTTAAAGGCCAGAGACATTGACGACATCCTGAAAGAAGTGATTGAGGAGGAGAGAGAGAAAGCAGAAAGGGCGAGGAGTCTAGCGCCTGCAAAGACTGACAACCAATCTGAGGCTGTTGTTGGGGTAATTTAAAAAGAATATTCCTTTTTTAAGCAAATGCTGGTAGCAGAAATAGGAAAAAGACCAGTTGTTAAGCTACAGCTGGTAGAAAGTAGTAAAATGAATAGTTTTACATTTTGGGAAATGGACTCATAGACTTTACTTAGTAAGAGTTAGATGGCTCCATACAACTCATATCTTTACACTAAATATTATAAAATATTTAAAGCTCACTAATTAACACGTTATATCTTGATTCGTTTCATCCATATAAAAGTGTAAAAACAAAACAAAACATTTTTAAGGGGGGGTATGTGTAGCTGTAACTTTATATTTACTAGACATAAAGTGGTTTCAATATTCTCATCTATGTCTCTGCAAGAAACCAAATCTGAGTATTTCCCACAATGCCAGACTATTCCCTTTTTAAAGTGGCACTCAACCGATGTAACAAACTGTAGGCGTGGAGTATAATAGACATGGGTCTTGACCAGTTAGAGAGGGTCTAATGAAAGATGCTGGTTTGCATTGTGGGAAGTGGATAATCCAACATTTTTGGAGCTTGACCCATAAAATATCTCTAACATCTCTAAATCATTAGAGTGCCTTGATTCCAATGATTCTGAAATAAATGTTTCCCTTCACGATAAAGTCAGCATTCATTTGAACAAAGTTTTTGTCAATTCAGGTGTTCAGTCTCGAATTATTCACACAGTAGACCATAGCAGTAAGTTCCATTCTCACTTTCTGAATATTATCATGGTATAACTGTTGCGTTTTCTTCTTGCACTTCCTGCCAAGCTGGACTTGGACTACAACTACAGTGAACTGTCGGACATCGTTCAGCTGGACGGTGCTGCAGGCAACTCTGACATCGAGGAGGAAGATGGAGTTCCCCTGGAAGAGAATGACTTTCTGGGTATAATCAACGCAGAGGCCATAAAGGCCCTGCAGGAAGGAGATGGGAGCAGCGACGGCAACAGCATCTCCACGAGCAGCGACAGCGAGGGAGCAGATGAACTCGCTAATGTGGTGGAAGAGGTGAGAGTCAGTGAGTTTGATATACATTTTGGCACGTTTTTTTTTTTTTTTTTCTTTTTTTGTGCCGCTTGTTCTAGAAATGATATTTTGCAGTTGCAGCACACATTATTTTGTCAAACAGCATGTTTTTGATTGCACGTTTTGTTTCCCGCAACTCACTTTCTGTCCATTAGGATCCTTTAAATTCAGGTGATGATGTGATTGAGCAGGACATCCCGGATCTCTTTGACACGGACAATGTAATTGTTTGCCAGTATGACAAAGTAAGAACATTTTGGCTCTCTACTAGCCATTATTTGCCTCTCAACAGAGCCCAGTGCAGAACACGTCTGTTAATATTATAACATTTTCTGGCTATTGCAGATTCACCGCAGTAAGAACCGCTGGAAGTTTCATTTGAAAGATGGTGTGATGTGTTACGGAGGCAGGGACTACGTGTTCTCTAAAGCTGTTGGGGAAGCCGAGTGGTAATAAGCTTTAGTTCTCTTGCACACATCAGATAATTATGTTGAAAGAGGGGTAACTGATTTAAAAGGGAAAAACAATCAGTGAATGTAGACCTCTTGGTGGTGTAATTTGGCTCACGTGGCAGGCAGTTAAAATCCCACTGTGCAAAACTGATACTTTTGTTTTTTTTTTTCAGTATGTAATTATCAGAGCAGCACTGCAAGTCATTTACGATGTTACAACCAATTACTTAGAGCATTGCTTGTGAATCCAATCTACTGAGACAAACAGCATGAATTTATGTTGTATAATATTTTGCTGAAATAGTTTATTAGTGGAGCAAAACATTATTTGACCTGGAATGTGTTTTCTTCTGTCATGATCATGTTGCTTTGAAGTTACCTAATGTGCTGTTTGATTTTCAAACATTGTAACTGTAATATTTTGCCTTTAATCATGCTTCAAATACACTGAACTGCACTGTTGTGCTGCATTCAATTAACAGTCCTCTGTCTGTGCAACCGTGTACAAAGCCAGTGTTGTCATATTTTTTTATAATGAACTAAGGTTTTTTTTTTTCTGTTCACTGGAAAATCAACCCGGTCCCAGTGGCTTACTATATACAAATTCACTAGAACATGACAAATTTAATTTATAAATGCCAGCATGAACACTAAAATTGATTATGTTTTGACTGTGGTTTGGATAGACACTAAAGTAGCTACTCGCAGCTGGAAAAAAATATATATATATAAAGGCTGGTGTGACAGCTCCAGCAACAACCCACAAAACAAAAACTAATCAGTGACAAATCCTTGGGAAATGTTTTTGGTACTGATGTCAAGTTTTCATTTTCACATTGGCTGTGTTGTCACAGTGATATTCTTTGGTGCAGACCTTTTCTCTTTTCCTTTTTATATGAAATTGTTATTAGAATTTTATGACATAAAGTTATTTCTTTTTTTCTTGTATTGCATCCAAAAGAGTGTACTGTGCACATTAGCACATAGTATACTTGATAGCAGTGAGGTTACAAGTTCAATCTGAGGGGATGGAAGATTATTAACGGGATCATTTTCACTACACAAAACTGTTTTCTTGCAGATAACTAGATATTTTAGAAAATGATTCAATCAACACAAGGTAAAATAATGGCTGAACTCGTTAAAACTGGTAGACATTTGCAACCCATTATGGGGGGTGTTACAAGAAGACATTGCTTTGCTTTCAGGGGTCACAACCCAATGCTGGTTGGGAACCACTGCTTTATAGTTTTGGTCAGTATGCAGCTGAGATAAAGGGCAGATCTCCTTTATAAAGGGAAGATTTGAGGCACCACCAAAAAGTGATCCTCTGTTTACAGGTTATGTAGATCTGATGCCACAGTTGTGTGTTGGCCACATAGATCCTAGAGCACACTGAAATGATGCAAATATGTGTCTGTTCAGCTCATTTATCATGTGTACAGTTTCAGAAAGAGGTTAATAGTCAACCATAGCGAATACAAGCTCATCTCTGGAAAACTGGTTTATTTAGGACAAGTCAGCAGCGCATTAGTTTCGAAGATGGTGCTGAGTTGTGGTTTTACTCATAGCAGTCTAGGTGAAAACGCTTGTTTAAGTATGTTCTAGTAAGTAAATACGGGTTTTGTATGAGAATCTCTTTTCTGGTATGTTAGCTTGCATCGATAGCGCAAGCTGCTAAATGAGGAAACCAATTTAAAATAATGGTTAGCATAACAAATTGACCACACATTTTTTCTCCCTTTTATTCAAATGCCTTCTTATGAAAATCCAGAACATTTTAAAAAGCAGATGTATTTATTGTAGACCAGGCCCCATTTGTGTCTTTGAGGTTGCTCTGGCATATCTGCAGTCTTCCAAGTCTCCCAGTCCAAATGTCTCCTGAGTACAACCCAGTACATGGCACTAAAATACATATTTGAAGAGCTTAAACAAAGACTTCCATTTTATCACATTTATCTCATTATATTCAAACTCAAAATCTCAACCTTTAGAAGGACAGAGCAATAAATAATTTCTACTTATTGATACTACTTAAATAAAACTAAATATCTCTTCTAGTACCCACATCTTTACAAATGCTGTTTAATGTATCTTGATCTTAACAAATGAACACCAATGCTTTAAAATAGCTTTGTAAATAAACTGGCCTGCTCCATCCATCTGCTGCTTTGAACCGCCATACCTGTGCAGAAATGCAAGCTGCAGCACCTGTTGTCTTCAATTTGAGGTCTCTTGGTCCTGACATGAAATTCTCGTTTTGTAAAGTAACCTAGATCAAATTTGATCTGATGCCTGTCATGAACGAGATTGACAATCTCTTCACCCTGACCTAAATTTTTAGAGGAATGCTACATTTTTATTACAGCAGATACTGCCTTTAAGTTCAGAATAAAATTCTCTGTGCTGATGGTCATGTGGTTCCCTTGTTTAGAAAGCAACCTTTCATCTTAATGTGATAGGCATAGAAGCTAAGTGAGTGAGGTTTTCTGGTGGGCATTTTCTGAGTAGAATTCAGGTGTGAAGCCAGAGTCTGTGACCTGTAGAAGTCAGTGTTTGCCTGGCAGCAGCCACAGCCGCAGCGCCTCAGTAGCAGGCACACGTCCTTTCTGAAAGCCCGTGTGAAGAGGGTGTACAAGAAAGGGTTGCAGAGGGAGTTGATGGGATAAAAAAGGATAAGCAGGATTTTTGAGTGAGACACAGTAATGAGGGGCATACACAGGGCTGCAGAGATGGCAAAGAAGGAGATTGGCGCCATGCACACAAAGTCTGTAAAAATGAGCACAGCCATGCGCTTGGCAATCTTGGTGTCTCCATGGCGGGTAGAGTGCTCTGGGTTGCGAACACTCCGATACATGCATATGTAACAGTAGCAGACCAACAGGAAAGCGACGACATTGAGAACGAGTACAGCCACCACGTAAACCTGAGAGCCCAGTGTGTCGATGTCCATGGGCAAACAGATGCTCACTTTGCTGTAACTACTGACCCCCACAAGAGGGAGCAGGGCAACCAGCAGAGAGAAGCCCCAGCCTGCCCCCATAATGGCTGCTACATGGTGCATCCGCAGCCTCTTGTTGACATGCATGGCATTGGTGATGGTATGCCAGCGTTCAAGGCTAATCACAGTCACTGTATATACTGACAGCTCACTGGCAAACACTGTCAAAAACCCTGCTATGCCACAGCCGGGTCCCGTCTGCCAGTCCGTGGCGTGGTTGTAGTACTCATGACGGGAGTAGTGGTCCATGAAGGCAATGAGCATCAGGTAGAGCCCCATGCAAAGGTCAGCGAAGGCCAGGTTACACATGAGAAATTTGGAGATGGTTAACTTATGGTGGCTAATTAGCAGGATGACCAGAACAGCCAGGTTACCGGTCACAGCGAAGACTGTAATGATCCAGGTGAGACAGCGCAGGAAGGGAAAACCCAGCAGGTCCTCACAAGGGTTAAAAGCGTCTGGCTTTGGTGTGCACTTGACGAAGGGGTTGTTAAGACAATCAAATCCCAGGTCTGGATACTCAAAGTTGATGTCATCAATCAAGTTCACGCCATCTCCAGCGGGATCTCTGAAGAATAAACAGATGTTAAGATTGCCATAAAAATCTGAAACGGATCCAGGAAAACTGCAAAAGGGACAGTAAGAAAATTATAGGGAGGAGGGGAGTCAGAAAAAGCAGAAGGTTGTGTATTTTTCTTTTTGCTTAAGGCAGGGGTACTCAAAATGTTTTTTTAGGGGTGGTAAATTTGTGATGAAAAGTCCCAGAGAAAGACTGTTTCAAAAGATCAAATATTTACATCGAAAAGATGGAGTTTGTGTTTGCCAACAATCACGTCTCTGTATAACAGGTTGTTTGTTTTTCTCATCAAAACCATCTGCGGGCTAATAGGATCAATATCAGTTCTGAGAAACAGAAAAAAGAGTTTGTTATTAGGGATTTAATGATCTGTCTCCAGTTTATTATTAAATATAATAAAGTTAAATGTGTCAAAATATGTTAAATGTGTCATGTAAATTGACAGGGACAGGTCCTGGTTCATAAAGAATGGCTGGAAATACAGGACACATCATTTTGTTATTTTAGTCCACCGCAATCATTTTTGTACAGTCCCTGAGTGGGAAGTGAAGTAACTTACATTTCAGTTTCGCTGAGATCGCATAACTTTGTGAAGTTCTTTAAGGCGCTTTCCCTTTTAAATTATAAAAAGAAAAGAGGGGAAAAGGTTAGACTGCACAAAATGTCAATAAATTCAGTCGCTAATTACAAAACAACTCATGATCTGTATTCATAGGACAGAGCTTTTGTTCTTTATGCAGATTTGAATGGATTTGTTACATCTCTGGCAGCAGTTGTCTGTTACCTTTGTTTCCGACGCCATGTGTGGAAGGCACAGCAGTGGCTGGGGTACGTGAGCTCAGCCTCCAGCAGCTCAGCCAGACTCACCAGTGGAGGGAGGGTCTTCAGAGCAAAGGCAGAGCTGGCTTTCAGAAACCTCACCTGCCTCAGCCCTTTAGGGGGGAGGGAACTCAGAGCTGTGGAGGAAACATCCCTGAAAACACACACGCAGGGAACACAGACATGTCAGTGAAGATTTGTGAAATGACTACCAATGTATAAAATACAGTGTTTTAATAAGGCGTTGAACCACCGCAAGCCACTAGAACAGGTTTCGGTCTATCTTAAATTTAGTTGGAGGGTTACAAAGTCAGTCTTTCCCACAAGAAGAGCCATCATTTGGTGTTTTGTTCATGGTGGCAAGAAATGCTGTTTAAGGCAAATCTGCTGAATCTCCCACAGGTGTTTATTCAGCCCCAGTGACTGCGGCAGCCAAGCCCCAATCTACACTGTTTTCATATTCATCAAGCCAATGGGTAAATCATGCTGTTTTTCTAAAGAGGTGCTCATTCACAACAAAAATGCTTCATCACAGCATAAACAGGTTGTAATTACTGGCATTTCACTAAAGATGTAATACATTTCATCCAAAACAGCAAACATTGAGAATCTACTTTGCTCCCTCATTTGATTGGATCCCTTGCAACCTGACATTCATCAAATCTAAAAATACCCAAAAGTACCACGCTGGACCCCGCATAAGCAAAAGAAAGACCTCTGGCATTTCCTGCGTGTCAGTGAATACTGCAGACATTAATTCATAGCCAAGATAAGAGGAAATTTCATATCTACAACACAGGGTTGCTTGCAATCAGAGACCTTGCAAGCTGTATGCACTGCAGACTGGGCTATTTGCTCACTAATCAGTATTCAGCAGTCCTGCCTGCCTTGTTGGTTGTTTACACAGACAGGCTGTCACCGCCCTAATGTTTATACAATAAAATGATAAACATTGTTATGAATATTAATCTTGCTTCACTGACCCAGTTCAAATATGGCCGCCTTAATGCTGTTGATTTAAACATCGGACGATATAAAATGTATGATTTTCCTCCTCTCGTATTTAACTTTGTCACAATCATTTACTTTGCTCCTCAGTAACTAAGTAAATT